CAGCACGCCTAGTAAGCCAGGTAACAGGCATACCCATTTTATTGCATCTTGCTTTGTTGCATTTCACAGATGATGCGTATTTTGCAAACTGAAGGTAAGATCCTCCACCAGCAAAAATATGACAACTTGCCTTACTGTGATACTGGCTTTTTCGCAGTCTATGTGTATTCAGGCAGCCAAGGAGAAACACTAATCAATGAGACATTGACATCAGAGGGGGAGGAAGATGACGTGGGGCAGGCAGAAATGAGTGCTGGGGCCAGAGAAGGCTCTGGAAGCAGAAAGTGAGACGAAGAAAGACAAATTATGCAATTCAGTGTGACCTGAAGCCAATTTTGTTCTAGTCCTGCAACTCATTGTGTGACACTGAGCAAGTGCCATCATGATCCTCTTTTCTCTAAAATAGGGATAAATGACATCAGGTTGAACCACAGGACTGTAAAGGCTCAGCTGTTGGCAATTTCCCATCGTTCTACCTGACACCTACCACATAAGGTGCTTTGTGCCCGACAGCGGGGCGTTCAGCCCCCGGAGCCACTCTGTGAGGGCTCTGATCTCCGAGGCCAGCCCTGCGGCCCCTTAGTGGTCCATGGCCTGGCCACTCCAAGCAAGCCCCACCTACCTGCCCCCACTCTCAGGGAAGGCAGTCTGAGGTCACCTGTCACCATGGTCACCAACACACCCACTCGCTGATATCTTTGAAGCATTCACGCAAAAAGGGTTTTTAGAGGCTAGGACCTCACCTGACCCCATCACAGGCCACAGAAGCGAGGCAGGCCCAGGCCTGTTGTCCCTGTGGAATGAATGGGAAAGCCAAGGCTCACTGAGGGAGCGGGACACAGTCAGGAGGGTGAGACCAGACCTGCAGTCAGCCTCCCTGGGGGAGGAACAAGCAGGGAGCCAGCGTCCTCAGGGGAGGTTGGATGACCCCTCCAGGCGCTGGACCAGGCGATGGCCTATGGACGCTGGCTCTGACCCAGAAGACAGCTGCCCCAGGCCAAGCACAGCAGCAGACGGCAGCTGTGACCTCCCTCCGAAGAGCACGAGACCCAAGTTCTCTGCTTCAGATGACCTTGGTGAGTCCCTGCCAGGCTCCTCAGCCTTCTCACCTGGAAAATGGGGACCACTCCCCCTACCACTAATGGGGCTGGGACAAGGTATGAAAAAGATGAAGGCTGGGGCAGTCATGAGTCTACCTCTGGGCCATTTGGCACTGAGGGTGAAACAGACACTGTCAGGGAAGGAGACAAGGAGACACACTCCTGGTCTTGCTGATTCTACAAGGACTTTCACCCACTAGTCCTTCACTGCTAATTTGTGTTTCCAGTGACCCCTGAACCTCAGGCCCACCCAAGATCATCTCTTCTCTGTTTCTTGCCTGGACTTGTGCAGTATCCTCCCAACCAATCTCCTCCTTCCCTCCCTCAATCCATCCTCTAATAGAGGCGTATGTCCTGCAGGAGAAGAGTCCAAGCTTTGAATCTAGTCCGGCCGCTCCCCTCCTCGGTGGTCACCACGGTTGGTGCATTTGCACCTGGCCCAGACTCTGAATCCCAAAATGGGAGATGACCACATGTCTGTCCCTTAGCCTTTCCCAGCCAATGCTGCTGCTCCTCCCCAAGCCCTCGGCTTATACCTCTCACTGCTGGCATGACAGCCCGAGAGTCCCAGCAATATCCAACCCATCCCAGGGCACACGGTAAGCACACAGGAAAATCACAATCCTCCCCCTGAAAGCATCAGATAGACCCCTTTATCCATCCGTCTCAGATGACTCTGCATTCCGCTGAGCAATGACTGGTCTCTCTGCCTGCATGGTGGAGCCGGACCCACCTCCAGCATCCCCAAAGCATCCCCTGTGATTGTATGTATACAGTGTCCCGCCCTGCCCCCACGCCCTGGGCCCCAACTCAGGCTTCCTCATCCCTCCCTGATCTCTCTGAGACACCCTGCAAACATCATCAGATTAATCTCATTAGATAGCAAGCTCCTTCCTGCTGTGCCCATGCTCAGAACTCTCAAGGCTCCCAGCGCCTTCAATGTCCAAACTCCTGAGCCTGATGTTCAAGGCCTTTCTGTGACACACAGCTGACGTGGGACAGGGGTGGAGATGAACTTGACAAAGGCTGTTCGGTGGTTAATCTACAGGAATTTGGGCAGTGGGCTTTTCCTGCTGGGCACTTTTTGGTGACACCCACTCTGCTGAAAAAGGGCTTCCCATCTTCTCTCCTGGCAAATTCTGACTCACCCCTCAATGCCCAGGCCCCAGGCCCCAGGCCCCCGGCCCCCTCCTCTGGGAAGCCTTTCCTAGTCCCCCTGCGGTCCAAACCTCTGAGTTCTAGCTTCCCAAGGCCCTCCTCGCTTCTCTCATCCCTCAGCAGTGCCACTGGATTCTATGTCTCTCTGTCCCACCAAGTTGGACTCTCCTTTGGTGAAAAATAGGTCCAGCCCCCCTTGTCTGCACCCAGTGCCCCCAGCACAGGATCAGGCACAGAAGTGAAAGAGTGCCAAGTGACCAATGAGAGACATATGACAGCAAGATGAGATGAAACTAAACATCTGACCACAAAAGCGCCTCCGAGACTGGCCCAACCCTTGGTCCAGTCCGTGCCCCCACATCTGTCCAGGTCTGGTCTCCCATGCATGTCAAGTCTGAAAATCTTAAATACCAGCCAAGGATGCCCCTCCAAAGGTCACTGGATTGGACTGAGTGAGGCTCTAACCAATCTAGAAATGACTTAAACAACTGAAGCTAAAGAAAAAGAAAGAAATTACTCCTGGTTAACTCTCAGCTCAAAAGCTCACAGAGTCTCATAAGAGAGGGAAGGGGGCTTCACAGAGGTCTCACCCCCTCCTTACCCCAGAGCACAGCAGCCCCTCCAAACCCCAGCTCAGCACCTATGGGTCGAGCAGCTCATTTCCTCTCTGACCTTCATGACCAGTTTCCCTCCTTTGAATCCCTGGGGCTGGCACTGTCCCTTCCCCAAACTAAAAGTCCCTCCAACCCTACCCCCCACCCCCCTCCATCTCCGGGCAGCGGCATCTCTCTTTGTATATTTTTTAACAACTTCTACCCAAGGCAGCCCTGGGAAGGAGACCCTCATCTAGGCCACTAAGCTATCTCCTGGGGGAAAAGGTGAAAAGAGGTTTTATTAGTAAACAAGCAAATGCTCTCTTACCGAAGGGGCATGAGGGGACAGAAATGAAGAGGGTGGGAGCATATATTCCCTTTTTAGGAACCCACCACACTCACCCACCCCTGCCGGCAGCCACCCCTCACATACCTCTGATGGCCTTGTCCCCACCCCCAGGTTTTCTGGAAGGGCAGGCACCAGGCTGACACAACAGGGTCTCCAGTTCGCTGGCCTCTCACAGAGTGGGTAGCCCGGACAGGATGCTAAGGATAGCAGAAGCCCATTCAAAGCAGAGGCAGACTCTTCGGACCCCCAGTTTGTGCCCTGGCTCGGCCCCACCCCTACCTCCAATTATACCAGTGCACCTGCTCCTAGCCCAGGCTGGAGCTGCGGACGCCACCACGCCACCAAAGACTGGCGAGCTTCGTGGTACTAGGTGATGATGCCCTCAGCCACGAGGAGAGGGGAACAGGGGTGGCATCACCTCCACACCCAATAGATGAAGATGGAGACTGAGGCCCAGAGTGGGGCAGATACTAGCACAAGGTCACACAGCAACGCCCAGGATGCACTCAGACTTCCCGACTCTCAACCTCAGCCCCTTACAGCCCTACGCTCGTACCTGGGGCTCTCGAACCGCCAAGGTGCTGACACTCCCTACCCTCAACCCACACACACACGCCCCCCAGTGCCTCCCAACCCCCTTACCTCTGGAACCCCAGTGGACCCCGCCTCAGACCCGGCTCCTGGGCGGGGCGCTCACGCGGGCAGGACTAGCCTGGGCGAAGCTAGGTCAGGGCGGATCCTCTGCTCCCCCCGGAGTGAGGACGCCCTCCGCCAGGTCCCAGATTGCATGGATGCTGCTTCCACTGCAAAGACCAACCTCCCCACACCTATCTATAACGAGCCTAAATCCAGGGAGCCCGACTCAGAGGTGCAGCCGTGCAGCTACAAGGGTGCGGGACGAAGCGGGGGGAGGAGCGAGATGCGGGTAACAGGGCGGAGCCCGAGCTGGGCCACCCCTCGAACCACCGCTCAGGCCGCGTCCCCTTTAAGGCTAGCCAGCTGGGGAGCCGGCGGGGGCGGGGCGAGGAGGGGAGCTGGACCTCTTACCGCAATGCCTCCTGGGAGAAGGAGTTTGTGCCGGGCATACCCAACCAACAAAGAGCCCAGAGAGAACTACAAGTCCCAGAGCGCAGCGCGCAGTACCGGGCTGCCACGCCTCTGGGCTGAACTCCAGGCCTCCGCCCCTCTCGCCAAGCTGCTCCGGCCGGGCGCAGAGGGGAGGCTGCAGAGAGCGGGCGAGGAGGTGGGTTCGGCGCGGCCCGGGGCGCGGGGCTCAGCTATAGCCGGTGAGGGGGCACGGGCCCACCCGTGCACCTGTCCTACCACGTGAGGTCATCTAGCCTCCCACTGCCTCGCCATTCTCATCTGTGCAATGGGGATGGTAACTCCTGTGGCTATAGGGGAGGGGGCGCTTAATCGAGGAGAGGAGGCGGAGCTGGTGGAATCGAGGAAGGAGCCGGAATGGATGGCGATGGTAGGAAAAGCCGGCATAATGAGGGTTGAGATTGTTAGGAGTTTTTGGCGCCTGAGAAGGGGAACGCGCGTTAGGTCAGAGAAGGGGAATCCAGGGCTGGGGAGTTCGTGCTGGGAGTGCCGATGAAGCAAGCTTGGGTTGGATTGGGTGGAATAGGCCCAAAAGCACTAGGGAAGAAAGAGCGGAGAGAAAAATGAAAAGGTCTCCTCCCAGCCCTGGAAAGCCCAGTGTCGGCTGCGCTGATCGAATTGGAGAAAGGGGTTGCCCGAGTGCGCCAACACCTGTGAATGCACACAGTGCCTTCCTTTTCTTGTGAGTAGAAATAAAGAACCCAGCCCTTGAACTCAGTGCGTCACACACATGATCTCATTCAACCCTCACACCCTGTAAAGGCGTCACCATGTCTGTTTACAGGTGAGGAACCTGAGGCTCAGAGAAGTGAAGTGACTTGCCCCAAACCACCCAGGACTCCTTACTTCAAAGGACAGGCAGAAGTTTAGTCTGGAGTCGGTGGTAGGGAAGAAAAAAAGTTTTAATGCCTTGCCTGTTGCAGGTTGTGTGACAGGACCTGCTTCCTCAACCCTTCTGAAAGCCAGCCTACCTGAAAGGCAACCCTCCTGTGGCTATTGTGAGAACGAAATGGGGAGATGGATTTAAAAGCCCTTTGTTTACAAACTAATTGTTAGGAGCAGAAAAACCTAACACAAGGGAAAGTGCTTGGAATAGGGCGCTTGTGCCAACAAAAAAAATTACAAGATGAGGCCTGAGAATGTGCTGAGAGAATGAAGGAAAATTCTGGAACACGATGGGGGATGGTAATTGTTGGGAGCCTGTAACAGGTGAGAGACTATTTCACTGTGCAAATGAGGAAGCCAGGTTGCCAGCTCAGGTGGCTTTCCTCCAGCAGCCTACCTCCTTTCCCTAGCTCAGGAACAACATAGCTCGCTCTGGGAGTGAGCCTGAGTGTGTCACCTGAGTCTAGGTAGTAACCTTTCCCCCTACAGTGTGGGTTGTGGGGATAATGGAACAGCCTGTGGGCTTCAGAGAGATGTGAAGTGGGTGAAAGAGGGCTAAAATTATAGCTGTTGGGGGTAGGGAGGCCAGGAAGAGAAGGTGAAAGGCAGTTCCCAGGGCTGTGAGCCAGAGTCTGTATCCTGGTGGGTTGAGTAGGCTGGGAAAGCCTCACCTGGTAATAGTGAGAGACACGTCACATTACCCACTCTGAGCATTTTCATCCTTGAAATTGACCCAACCATGTTCTTTCCAGCTCCCACGCAATGGGAGTTTTGCGTTTACTTCTATGTGGTTACCTGGGCCTTAGATTGCAAATTGAAAATTCAAGAGAATGTTTCCGAAATAGAAAGTTTTTGAAATTCTGGAATGATAAGTCTCCCTTTTGGTAGATGACTGTCATTCCGGTGTGAGGAAAATGGATCTAACTAAACCAGAAGTACTTTCTTTCCCTTCCCCTACTTGCCTGCTTCTGGGGGTAGAGAGGGGAGATCCCAGGCCCAGCAGGGTGGCACCCATCTGCTTAAGGAAAGCGCATCATAGTAAGGATAAAACTGCAGGTGCAGAGGAAGAAGGAATGACTTGGAGCTGAGGGGCCTGGCAAGTGAATGGGACTTGCTTTTACAGTGCAGGCAGAGGGGATGGCAGATGCCAAATTGCAGGGATGAGAGAGGGCCTGGCATGAAAGTAGAGATAATAATAGTACAGGCACACCTCAGAGATGTTGCAGGTTCGGTTCCAGGCCACGGCAATAAATGAGTATTGCAATAAAGCAAGTCACTGATTTTTTTACAGGGGAGGGTCTTGCCTTCCATTTGTAAAAAAAAAAAACAAAAACCTGTGAATTGCAACAAATATGAGGTCCACCTGTAGCTGAGCTCAACCTGCATCAGGTGCCTAGCACAACAGTAATGTCAGCCATCATTATCACTGCTGCTATTGTCATGATGACGGTGACACCATACATCCAGGAATTGATACCCCCCCACCCCGGAGCTAGTTAAGTGGCAGAGCCTAATCCCAACACTGACCCAGGTAATGGCACATCCCATGCCCTTGCCTCCCCTCCTCAAGGCCCATCCAATTTTTTCTGACCATCCACAACATTTGTGAGGCCCGGAAGTGGCCCCCATCTGTGGACATTCTCCACGAGCCCTGACAGGAGTTTCTCCCCTTCTGTAGAAGCAGAGGCTCTGGGTTCAGGAAACAGCAGAAACAAGGTCTGAACAGCCATCCTCTCCCAGCCTGGATCCTGGCAGGGAGGCAGGTAGGCCTAGGGCTGCGGGTTCTGTAGACAGAGGGGCTCTGTCGGGTGACCTTTCCCTTACTGTGGGCTGTTACATCTTAGCCCTGGTGGTTCCTCATCCTCCAAAGCACAGTGACTCGTGGAGATTTTCAGTGCGTTTTAGTAATAGAAACAAATCTCCTGTTCCTTGGGCTTGGGCACTGGGACTGGAACTGTACATCTGCAGTCCTGTGGGAGAGTGTTCTTTTCTTTCCCCTTCTTTCAAAATTAAGGTATTTTTAGAACGTTCAAGCCTACAGAAAAGCTTAAAGAATAGCCCTTCACCTAGCTGTACCAACTCACTCTGCTGATTTTGCTTTTATACACACTTTTTTTTTTTTGCTAAACTATTTGAAAGTTACATCTGGACACTTGCCCCCTAGATTCTTTAGGAGGTATCTCCTAATTATAATATTCTCCTACAATAACCCTAATGCCATTATCATACCTAAGAAAATTAGCAAGAAGTCAATATTATCTAATAAACATTGATACTCAAATTTATCCAGCTGCCAAAAATCTTACGGAGATTTTTAAAAATCAGATGCAGTCCAGATTCATGCACTGCCTTTAGTTATTAATTTAAGCAACTCATTTGAACTAGATAGAGCCTTTCTAGCTATTTAAATTTGTTTGATTATTTTATCAATGATCAAAGTTTTCTGGTAACATATACAGTACTTCTTACTGCATCACAGCGGAGCATATATCAGGTCCTTACTACCCATGAATGCTAAACTTACTGGCCAAGGCCATGACGGCCTGATCTCGCCATGGAAAGATAAGTTTTCCCCCCGGTAATTAATCAGTAATCTGCGGAGTGAGTCTCTGAGACTTGGAATTGTGTGTTCACGATAACCTTTCACTCCGCATCCATTGCTGGTCCTTGCCTGAGTTGCAACACTGAGGATTACAGATGGTAATTTTCTAATTATGCCATTCTTACTATATGTATTAGCTGGTATTCTATGTTAGGGACTAACTTTTCCTCTGTGTGTGTGCGTTTCTCACTCCCTCTGGTTTTCTTCTCTTTTCCTTTTTGGAGTAACAGACTCCTGATTTTTTTAAGAGGTCAGTGTATTACAACCCATTGTCATCACTGATCTTTTCAGTACTCAAACTATCCCAGATTTGGCCAGTGAGAATCCCTTCATGCCAGCTCCTGTGTTCTTTTGCCTTGTTTTTTATTGAGATACAATTGACATATGACATTGTATTAGTTTTAGATGTACAACATAATGATTTGACGTATGTATATTTTGAGAAATTACCACAGTATGTTAACATCCATCAACACATACAATTACTAAAACTTTTTGGTTTTGATAAGGACTTTTAAGATCTTCTATGTTCTTTTGGCCTGACCTCATTAACCTTTTATTGCTTCTTTCTTATCTGGAAAGACATTCCAGGCTCACCTTGACTTGTCCTATCAAAGTCCTGGAATCATCTGTTTTGTTTTATTTTGTTCTTTTAGGAAACACTGGTTTGTTTGGTTTTTTGTAGGAGATAACATTTAGAAACTAGCATCTGGGGTCATGTGTGCTCATTTTTACCAGGGTATCATTTCTAGGCTCTTTGAGCACAGCTAAGAAATGATGGATAATGGATGGATAATCATTGCCTAATAGATGCATTGTAGTTACCACAGCTGGTCCTCACTGTGTAAAAGGAGTAGATGGCACAGAAAATCGTTTCATTATGGAAGCTCAATGGGCAGTAATGTAGGGAGGGAATCGTGCAGAGAGAGCCCAGGCCTTCTCCAGGGCTCCAGGAGTGTCCAGGCTGTTAGCAAGGGCCTGTGTGGCTGGGTTCCGTCCCTTGCTCAGAACTCAAGTTGGAGAAGACACCCCAGGCTGCCTCCAAAGGACTGGTTCCCTGCGCAGTGTCCAAATCCAGATCCTCCCAGAGGCCGTGACTCAGAGGTCAAGAATGCACACAGTGCCCTGCGCCAGAGATTCATCCTATGAGTTCGTGAAAGGCAGGCGACTGGGCCTGTCTTGCCAGAGTTGTGGACCGGATATAGGTTTTGTAACTGCTAACAAGCCTTTTCAACATGTACTACAAAAACTCCTTTTTCGTTGTTTGCTTTCTAATCCAATTTAATATCTTGTACTAACATAACCATCTTTTTTCAAATATTATTTCAGGTTATCACTCATCAGCTTTTCTAAACTGAGATTTTAATCTTTTTAAAACCTTTTTTTAAATTATTGTATTTTTTTCCATTCCCATTTATCGCCCTTATAGCCACAGCCCCCGCCCCCCACAGTCACCACACGTGGTCCGTGTCCATGGGTCCTCTCTCCTTTTAGTCCCATCCCTCCACCCCCTCAGCTCCCCGGAGCTGTCAGCCTGCTGTCTCTGAGTCTGCCTGTTTTGCTTATTTGTTCAGTTTGTTCATTAGACGCCACATATGAGTGAAGTCATATGGTACTTGTCTTTTTCTGACTGGCTTATTTCACTCAGCTTAATGTTCTCCAGGTCCATCCATGCTGTTGCAAAGGGTAAAATTTTCTTTTTTGTGGCCCAGTAGTATTCCATTGTGTCAGTGGCCCATAGTTGTTTTATCCACTTATCTACCAATGGACACTTGGCCAGCTTCCAAATTGTGGTGATTGTAAATGATGCTGAGGTGAACACAGGGGTCCTTATGTTCTTTCGAATTAGTGTCTCAGGTTCCTTAGGATAAATTGCCAGAAGTAGAATCACTCGGTGACAAGGCAGTTCCATGTTAAATTTTTTCAGGTATCTCCACACTGCTTTCTACAGTCGCTGCCCCAGTCTGCATTCCCACCAACAGTGCAGAAGGGTTCCCTTTCTCTACATCCTCGCCAGCACTTGTTTGTTGATTGATTGATGATGGTCATTCTGACAGGTGTGAGGTGATATTTCATTGTGATTTTTTTAAGATTTTATTTTATTTTGAGAACTCTGGCCTTTTATTTTAACTAATTTATTTATTTTTAAATTATTTTTCAACTACAGTATTCTTTCTTTTACTCCCCAGCCCACCACCTCCTTTATTTATTTTTAGACAGAGGGGGAGGGGAGGGGAAAAGAGAAGAGAAACATCCATGTGTGGTTGCCTCTCGAGCGCCTCTGCTAGGGACCTGGCCTGCAACCCAGGCATGTGCCCTGACTGGGAATCGAACCCTTTGGTTTGCAGGTCAGTGCTCAGTCCACTGAGCCACACCAGCCGGAGCTTATCTTTTTAGTGTTGATGGTTTCCTTTGCTGTGCCAAACTTTTACCTTTGATGTAGTCCCATTTGTTGTTTTTTTGTTTGTTTTCCTTGCCTGAGGAGATACATCAGATAAAATATTGCTCTGAGCAGTGTCCAAGATTTTACTGCCTATGTTTTCTTCTAGGAATTTTATGGTTTCAGGTCTAACATTTAAGGCTTTAATCCATTTTTTAATTTATTCTTATGTGTGGCGTTAGAAGGTGATCTGGCTTCATTTTTCTGCACCTCTCTGCCCAATTTCCCCAACACCATTTATTGAATAAACTATCTTTAGCCCATTGTATGTGCTTGCTTCCTCTGTCAAAAATATTAATTGACTACAAAGGTGTAGGCTTAAATACTATTGGGATGTGGATTCGGATAGCACAGTAACTGTAATTAATTTTAGAACAACTCTCAGAAGAATTATAGCTATCTGTTCAAATCGTATTTGTGCTTCTGATTAAAACGTCATAGCCCGTGTTACTAGAGGCAGCACAGGCTTTGGAGAAACGCCTCACTTGGAATTCTAACCCCACTGCCTCTAACTGTGATCTTAAGCATCTGCCTTCACTACTCTGCTTCAGTTTTATAATCCTAAAACTTGGGATGATACTGTACCTACCTCACAGCATCAGCGTGGCATTTTAATGAAGTAACGTATAGGGAAATGTCTCGCACAGCCCGGGGCCATGTCCCGGGTGTTCGGGAAACGCTGATTCTCTGTGCCCTGGTCTTTCTGTAGGTCGGCATCCAATTGAGGTGGTAGGTGTGCCAGCACCTGGTAAGCGGGAGTACGGGGACGAGCGACAGACTTCTCCAAGAGCCTTGGCTGCTGAATACCTCAACAGGAGTGTCGTCACTCACAGCGCAGACTTTGTGGTCAGGCCTAGGCTTGAATCCAGGCTCTGCCCTGCTTTGGGCAAGTTACTTCTCTGAGCCTCGGGTTCCCATTTGTAGAATAGAGGTCATACTCTCCTCATTTAGGGTTTAAATGAGTCAGCATGTGTACTGCATCTCACACAGGTGTGGTACATGATAAGCACCCGTCAAGCATAAGCTGTGTCCCTCATGAGGCCTGAGCGGCCCGTGGGAACCAGGACATGGTTTCAAAGTAAGACTCTAGAGCGATGTCCTGCTGCCCTTCCTTACAGGACATCTCTTAATTGTTTTCTGTGTCACAATTAGAGGTTGCAAGCAGGTGATTTTCAGGCCCTAGACTGGAATTGCCCTTCCGGTGGTACCAGGCTGGGCCTCACGACCCCTCTCATTTGGGCCGCAGACCCTCTCGCGGAGGGGACAGTGCCAGCCCCAACCCCCCGGCCCTTCCTGCCGGGTCAGGTGATCAGCATGGCTCCCTTCCTGGTTTCACACCAGTGGTTTTTCTCAGAGGGGTGGGTTTGATCTTTTTCTTGGTACTTTTCAAGTCGAGAGGCAGATTTGGAAAGTCGCTTAAGAAAAATATTCATCACGCACAAGTGGGATTCCTTGATCTCCCACTTCCTGGTTCAGTTTGCATTTCCACGCATCTTTTCTAATCTGGCTTTTAAAAACCTGACTTTCGTGTTTTGCTGCTTTGTATTTAGACATCACGAGTTGCCTTTGCTATAGAAGAGTTTCAGCTCTCGGTGAACTTGTCCTGTGGCAGCTACGGAGGGACTCTGGGCCGTCCTGGGGTCCCATCCCCAGTCCTCAGATGTGAGTGGGCGTGGCCGCTGGCTGGCAGTGGACGAGCCGCCCCAGCCTGGCCTGCACGG